TCATATCAGCAGATTTTTGATAATAAATGAATGCTTTATTTTCATCCTTTTCAACACCGATTCCATTAATATAATTGTATCCAAGATCGTTTAGCTGAGTTGAATTCATTTTGCTTTTCGAATAAGAAAGGTCCGAATCTGATATCGATATAAATAAATTAACTGTGCTATAGATATTTGCATCATATTTAGTAACACAATTGGCTACAGTAATAAGGTTATCATTATTTATGGTTTCATTTTATCGTTACAGTATCGTTATTTCCTTTTTTTATCACTTTATTGGTATGATTAATTTTAAATATGAAATAAAATAAGAGGTTATTTTGAGATTATTTTTTTTTACTAAGTAAAACTTTTATTAAAAAATGCAGTATGTATTAGATCTCATAGCAGGGTTTGATAAAGTTGGATATACATTTTTTAATACATATATGTGAATATGAAATGAATGCATAAAAAAGCATAAAACAGTTTATTTAATAACGAAATAAGCCTCAAAGATAAAGTAAATAATTAAATAATCATACAATAATTCTTTCATCAATCTTTATAATTAATATGTATTCAAATCTTGAGAGGTGTAATAACATTAGATCTCGCATAAATTATGTTGTATATTTATTTAATAGGTTTTAATATGTGATATATTTTTTTATTCAGGAACTAAAGACATCGACAACCTTATAATTAAAGAAGATTATGAGGAATACATACTAGTAGATATAATAATTACTAGATACAGTACAGTATAATAATTACTAGATACAGTATAGACAATCACTTTATTTTTAATGCCATTAGCATTACAAAAAAATCGTAAATTTAATTCACAACAGATAGAGGGTGCCGTCAGCATATACACAAAGAATGACGAAAATGTTAAAGACAAAAAACCTGTCGTAAACCCTAATAAAACCAAACCTGTACAGACTTCAACAAATAAGAAAAAATCTGCGCCGTTTTCCTCATATAAACCACCTTTAGTGAAAGAATCAAAAGTTGCCATAAGTTCTATACCAAAACCATCAAAAGTGACAGCAACAGCCACGTCAACAGCAGAAGGGTTGACAACCACAGCCACTATATCAGTATCAATTTCTGCTGCATCTACACCAGATCGAACACAGTCAACTTCTAAATATGCGTCTTCAAGCGCACGTATCTTTGGTAGAACAAAAGATCGACAATATACTCCATATGAAAAGCCAGCTATTGGATTTGCCCCGACTCCTTCCTCATAACAATAGCCGACTTGATATGTTCCATCAGCATTACCCATATCAGCAGATTTTTGATAA